AGCAGACGTCCACGCCGTGACACGTCCTCGGTTTACGGGAGAGACCGCCCTCTCCTTCGAGGTGAGGGGTCATCGTCTGGGGCAGCGTCCGCAGGAGGTGATGAGAGGAGGACCAGGGGCAGTAGCCGTAGGAGGCAGCGGTCTCCTCCCTCACCACGTGATGAGGTGCTGGAGGAGGAGCACGTGACGGCCACGGCCACGTCCTCGTCGGAGGACGAGAGGGGTCAGCAGATGGGCGAGGGAGGCGAGGCGCTCGAGGGTGAGGGAGGCAAGGGGCTCGAGGGCGAGGGAGGGGGTAACGCTACCTAGACTTTCTACGAGCGAGGTCCCGTGAGCCTCCCTCCGGTTCCGCTTCCTCACAACCGCCCAGTGATTCGGCCTATGGCAAAGAGGTAAGTAACTATAGATGTTATCACAACTACTTCATAAGATATGTTGGAAATCATAAGAGAAACTGATAAATTTTCTTAATCACTTGTGCAGGGCCTGGTTGGTTTTGTCAGTACTCCAAAGACGCACTTCATGAGCATCCTTGGTGTTTTGTGCAGAAATGGTACTCAAAGATTGTGCAACTGTCTCAAGAGCCGGTGGTGAGGGGGTCGGCCTCAAATCCAGGACAGTGCTGCGCTGGTCACGGATGACACTTACCGCAACAAGCAGGAGCGGGTATTGGCAGAGTTTTGGGTAAGTTTCTGTCGCACAACATTGCTTAATACATCTCATTCATTGGTTAAATGTTTTATTGAAATAATAAATGGATACGTCGGTTTTGTATGCGAGAAAATTTTCAAGGCGAAGAAGGACTTGAGGCCCAAGCGGATCGAGGTAACGCGCAGACTTGTAGGAAGTACGCCACCGAGATGCACCACCATGGGCGCGCCCAAGCCCACATAGACTACTACTGGTCGGCATTTAAGCAGTCCCTCCCAAGCCTCAAGCAAGACTGATTCTACCGACCGGGACCAAGATTTGAGGTAGGCGAATAACATTCATAATGATTCGTTTTGATATTAAGTAGGTTCAATTTCATCTTCGTAAATGTCAAATACTCGATGACTTGTAGGTGATTCCCGGTGGTGTCGATCGTATCCCGAGTGCTGGGCCATGATCGTGGACAAGTGGTTATCACAGGACTTTGTTGACACGCGACGAGAGGCGTGGAACAGCGTCGATGAGGCAAGGTCCAACTCACCATCAAGCGCAGCCGCAGCCTCCCCGGATACAAACAAGCATACGCAAGTGATTTCTTTCATTTATTTTGATGCTCAATTCTACTTGATTTCTCACCATCTTCCCATCTTTCTCGCAGGAGGCTGCGCACCCGGGCGAGGAGGTCTCGGAGTTCTCTGCGTGGGCTATGTCCCACATGGGCATGGCGTCGTCCTCTGTCTCCTTCGACCCTACTGCCCCGCCTCAGGTGTACTCCGACCCGAACGTGTACACCAAAGTCCAAGAGTACACGTCCTCGGTAAGGGAGATCTATGGGGAAGATTATAATGTGCGCACTGAGCCCATTGATGCAGAGACGATCATGAGGCTCAGAGGAGGCAAGAAGCACAGGCAGCTGTGGATTGCAGACGACGCCATCGACTCCACCACTGTTCCCTCCCTCGACGCTATCCGAGCACGGAGCACGAGCTCCAGCCAGCCCATACGCACACGGCCTTCTCCAGCACTGCAGCAGGTCCATGCACTCTAGGTAATTCCTATTTTACTCGTCGTACGTTGATATTTGCACACCTAAATTAGATTTGCATTACTGATACATTGGAGTGAAATATTGCAGGCCGAGCTGCAAGAAACAAAAAGGCAAAGTCAAGAGCAGAATGCGGAACTGATCGCACAGCTGCAGGCCCAGCAGGTCAACTTCGAGGCCGCGCAGAAGCAGATAGCGGAGATGATGGTGATCATGCAAAGTCTTGGGCAAGCATCGGGTGTACCTGTGCAGTTTTCAGCTCCTCCACCTCCTACTCCTGCAGCTACTCCTGTAAGTATGAAAGTTCACTTTTCGCTTGTGCTTTGCATGTATGTCGGCCTTCGTGCCGTTGTCGATGTCGGTGTTCGTGCCGTTGTGGATGTCGGCATTCGTGTCGGCGTTCGTGCTGTTGTGGATGTCGGCGTTTGTGCCGTTGTTTCTTACAGGTTTTGGAAACCTCCCCGTGCAGGGGAGGTGCTGCCGAAATTTTCAATTGAGTCTAATATTTTTGTATCCCTAGATTACTAGATGCAATCTCTAAGTTCCAAAACTGTTTTCCTGGATTACTCACACATGCAATCTCTGCTCCTTTGTGCAGCCTCCGTCTTCGAGTTCCAATCATCTCGGTAGTGCGTCACCGGGTGATCCCGCCTTTCCTTCACCACCGTCTCATAGGCTACCTTGATGAGGACTGTGCTAGGTGATGTGGTTGGACTTTATTGTAATATTTGTAGTTTATGGTTCTGACTTGTGCTTGGATTTCATGAACTTGTCGTAATAAACATGTGAATGATGATGAACATGTGACTTGTCATTGTAATATATTGTGATTTGTGGTTCACAATTATGGTTGTGATATATTGTGAGAAAATGGGTTCTGTGTGATATATATATGTGATGGTTGATATATATATATGTATATATATGAAATGCTTGTGTCGATGGAATGCAAAAAACAAAAAAAAATTAAATTTCTGCCTCTTTGCCGAGGGCAATGACCAAGGCCCTCAGCAAAGAAGGGTCCTTTGCCGAGGGCCGTCCCATTGCCCTCGGCAAAGATTCATTGGAAAAATTCTGGAACATTTCTTTGCCGAGGGCCATGGTTGGAGGCCCTCGGCAAAGACTTTTTTTTAAAAAAAATAAAATTTCTTTGCCGAGGGCCTGTGGGGAAGCCCTCGGCAAAGATTTTTTTAAAAAAAAAGAATAATTCTTTGCCGAGGGCCGTCCCATTACCCTCGGCAAAGATTTTTTGGAAAAATTCTGCAACATTTCTTTGCCGAGGGCCATGGTTGGAGGCCCTCGGCAAAGACTCCGTCCCAGGCGCCGGCGCCGTGACGGCTGCTTTTCTTTGCCGAGTGCCGGTCCAGCCCTCGGCAAAGACCCTATTCGCCGACTCAAAATTCCCCGAGAGCTCTTTGCCGAGGGCCGCCCTCGGCAAAGCCTTTGCCAAGGGTTAATGGGCCTTTGCCGAGGGCCTCAGGCCCTCGGCAAAAAGGCCGTCTCCAGTAGTGTCGCCAGCTAGGACACGTGACAGCAAGGGCAGCAGCGGCAAATCGAATTGTGCATTGTCTGCAACAGGGTGCTGCACTGCACGGCCCATAGGTGATTGCAAAAACAAGCACATCATCCCACAGTTTGTCCCCATATCTCGATGGATCCTTAGCCCCATGCTTTTTATCGACACTGCTATACTCCTATAAAACTTCAGTGTTAGCACCTACATGCAACTGGACAAATCACAACACTACTCAATACAGGTAGGGTTTTACCTTATAGTACGTATACAGATTAAGCAGAGGCCGCAGCGTGCACGCATACATGTCTGTCCACTGCCCAGTGCATGGACAGCAGCTATGCGGAAGGAGCCCGGCCAGGTTTGCATTTTGAGGAGGTTAGTCACTATGAATGTGACACAACCTGTATATCTTTAGAATTGCTCAATTCCAAAATGTGCTAGGTGACATACTAGAGTCAGTCACAATGAAAGTGACACGATTATATATGTACTAGAAGAGTTGCTTTAAGTCACCTTACATTTGAAAAGTTGGTGTATATTTGAATATTCCATTTTGCTAATACACACAACACCAATTGTCTACCTTCAAATTTGCTTCATTCCTAAATGTGCTAATAAGTGACCTACTAGTGTTAGTCACTTTGAAAATGACCTAACTTGGACTCACTAGAACAGTCACTTTCGAACAGACCTTCAATTCCTAACTTGTACCAATTTAGTGCCATCTTGAAGAGGTTGTGTCAGTATAAGGTGTTACTAATATAATTTCTCCACAACAAAGTAGAATGCCACTTTGGAAGTGACGACCTAGCTCTCCTGTATGTCACTTAAGATATTTGAATGGGACAATTTTAAAATATTAGCAAAATGGATTTTCCACATCACATTATTCTTCATCTATGTTAGGGTCCTCATCAAAGATGAGTAGTTTTTTGTTACAATATTTATTTAGTGGTCTTGGAAATTGCTAACTGTTTGTTATAAAGTTTAAAAACATGAATATTTGGTGTAGATTTGAATATTCCATTTTGCTAGTACACACAATGCCAATTGTGTACCTTCTTGCTTCATTGCTAAATGTGCTAAGTGACCTACTAGAGTTAGCCAGTTTGAAAATGACCTAGCTAGCTTGGACTTACTAGAAGAGTTGCTTTCGAAGTTACCTTCAATTCTCAACTTGCACGATTTTAGTGCCATTTTTATATATGAGGTTAATTGTGTCAGTATATATAAGGTGTAGTAATTTCTCAAGAAGAAGGTAGAATGTCACTTTGGAACTCACTTAGCTCTCTATTAGTATCAGTATGTCACTTAAGATATTTGAGCTAAACAATTTAAAATATACAAGATGGCATTCTACATATTAACAAAATCGATTGTCCACACCACATTCTTCTGCTATGTTAAGAGTCCTCATCAAAGTTCATCTAGGTTTTTGTTATTTATTTAGTGGTCTCAAAAATTGCTAACCATTTTTTTTTAAATTGAAAATTTATGAGTCAACCAACACAATCATTTCCATTATTTTAATGAAAGTATTAGTTTCATTAAAATTTTCTTTTGCCACAGGTTATTTTTATATTTTTATTAAAATTAAAGTTTTTTTTCAATCCATAAAGCATTGGGGGGCGAGGGCGACCATGATTGACACGTCCACACCGCGGCCACAGATTGGCTGGTGGTCTTTAAAGGGACTTCAGCCGACCAGTGACCATGCAGACTACTGCGCGAGCTGAATTGAGACAGATCTCGGCCGCGAAGCCAAGCCAGCACAAGTAAGCAGCCGCAATGGAGGGATCCGCCGCTGCGCCGCTCCGCACACGAGTGTGCATCATAGGGATCGGCCCCGCGGCGCACACGGCGGCGATCTACGCGGCCCGCGCGGACCTCAAGCCCGTTCTCTTCGAGGGCTGGATGGCCAACGGCGTGGCCGCGGGCGGGCAGCTCACCACCACCACCGTCGTCGAGAACTTCCCGGGCTTCCCTGCGGGCATCATGGGCAGCGACCTGATGAAGCGCTGCCGCGACCAGTCCCTGCGCTTCGGCACCAGGATCGTCACCGAGACCGTCGCCGCCGTCGACCTCTCGGCCCACCCCTTCCGCGTCGTCTCGGATAAGTCCACGACCGTCCTCGCCGATGCCGTCATCGTCGCCACGGGCGCCGTCGCGCGCCGCCTGCACTTCCCCGGGTCCGATGCGTACAGGAACCACGGCATCTCCGCCTGCGCCGTCTGCGACGGCCCGGCCCCCATCTTCCGTGACAGGCCGCCCGCCGTCGTAGGCGGCGGCGACTCCGCCATGGAGGAGTCCAGCTTCCTCACCAAGTACGGCTCCCGCGTCTACATCGTCCACCGCCGGAGCACCTTCCGGGCTTCCAAGATCATGCAGGACAGGGTGCTCAAGAACCCCAAGATCCAGGTCGTCTGGAACTCGGTGGTTGTCGAGGCGTTTGGTGGCTTAGAAGGCGGCGGTGGCGGCCATCAAGGTCAAGAACCTGGTGAGTGGTGAGGTCAAGGATCTTCAGGTGGCTGGTCTCTTCTTCGCCATCGGGCACACGCCGGCGACGGAGTTCCTGGGTGGGCAGCTCGAGCTTGACTCGCCGGCGGGATACGTGGTCACCAAGCCGAGCTCCACCCACACCAGTGTGAAGGGAGTCTTCGCTGCTGGCGACGTGCAGGACAAGAAGTATCGCCAGGCCATAACTGCCGCTGGATCAGGTACTCTACAGCTCTATGATTCTTTTACGAATATTCGTTCGCTCCTATTGCAATTGCAAGTGATCAATATGCAAACATATCGATTAGAGGAACTTCACTGCTACGAAACAGATGAACACAGATGACCAAAAAATATTTTTTGAGAGGCGGGGGTGCATGCCCACCTCTGTGTAATGGTTTGGCGCCGAACCCCTGCTTACAAGCTTGCTAGCATGTTCATCGCCCACCATGGACCTATCGTGGAGATCGAGAGAGAGGAGAAGTGAAGAGGATGAGGGCCCACTCCGAGACCACCGCCGGTGAGCCCCTCCTAGGTCTTCTATATGAAAGTCACTCCGGAGCCGGGCAAACCCCCTACCCCCCAAGGATCTAAGCATGTCACGCGCGAATCAGGATGCCTCCACATCAGATCTACGAATGAGAGATAGGGAGCAAGAGTTGAGGAAGAGAGAGAGGGAGGGCAATCTCACCAGATCTGGGCATCCCTCCGTAGGGCTCGACTATGTTCTTCGTGTAGTGGTGTGTGGGTGACAACAGGGGGTGCTTCCGAGGCCGCCATGGTGTGCTTGGAGTGGAGTAGGGGAGAGGAAGAGGCGCCCCACTGGCATACGCAAGCTATGCCATCGGGTCTGCATGCCATGCCGCTGTGGTGGACAGAGATTTGGATAGGTAAGAGAGGTGGGGTGGGTGAGGAGGGGATAGGTGAGGAGTGGGCAACTAAGGATGGGGCGGCTAGAGGATTGGGATTAGAATTAAGGTATTTGGAGCTCATGGTCCTTTTATAGTTGTGAAATCAATTTCACCGTGGGCTCGTATCATGAACCAAGCATTGGTGAAAATGATATTCAATGCTAGTTTGTATCATGAAACGGCAGTGTTATATTTTCATAAGCATTTTTAATGATCTATTGATGAAAATGTTTTCTGTAGTAGTGATCAACAATATTGTGGCGATAGGCCCTATGAAAAGACTATAGCAAAGCTACAGCTGGGCTATAACAAAGCTATAGCTAGACTATAGCAGGTTATTTAGAACCATGATAATAAGATTAAGAGTTTACTAAACAATATCAAGTAGAGTCCTGACTTTAGCGTTTAAAAAACCGTTTATCTAGAAAATGCTTCAATCAACATATACTGGATCATTTGAAATGTTTTTAACGAAAGTATTAAATTATGATAAATTCTACTTGGCAAAGTAAATTCTGATAAACTGCATAAATGGTGATTGTGCCTACTTCATCCTTGTTTAGAAAGAGTTAACAATTACCTGTTTTATCATGAAAATCTGCATACAAGATGCATCTGCTTTCAACAATCTCTTTTTGCAATAGTAGTGATGTACAAGTCAGAATGGTGGTTGGTCTCATTGTCTCTTTATAAGATCAATCAATCTAGGAAACTGGCATTGGTGGTTTCATCAGCATAGCATATATATACTTGTGGATGCACGTGACCAATATGTAATTATATCTATTATTTACTTGTGGATGTTGCAGGGTGCATGGACGCTTTGGATGCTGAGCACTATCTGCAGGAGGTCGGGGTCGGTGCACAGGAGGGCAAGTCTGATGATCGAGTGTCTGATTGACTAGATCAGTTGACGGTGCCGTAATATAATAGGAGCCGCAGTCTTATGAGCGGTATGCCATGGGTTGTCATGATTGAAAATAAAACCTGAATAATCACGCTGCTTAGTAGCACACTATATATTCTTCTCATTATGATCCAGAACTCTAAACTTACAGTGATGTACTGCAAACCGTTTCGTGTTTACCAGCTATGAACTTATCGTTTTACATATCTTTATTGTCAATATGGTCGCTATGTTATTCGTGTTGTATTATCTAAAAAAAATGTCATTCGTGTTGCTATGCTGAGCTCATATCCATCAAATGTCTAGCAGCCTTTCAGTTTTCGCTCAGTTTCATTCTCTCATTCTTTTCAGGGCAGTTACCGTCTGTTACATGCTTATACATATTCAGTCATTCGGACATTCAGCCAAGCAGCCTGAAGACACACACTGGCCAACCGGCCTTCGATTAGCCCACGATCTCCATCACGTATGGACAATCAATTTCCGCCTGCCGCGCAAGGCCCAGCTCCGTGTGCGAGCTAACATAAGGCCTAGATTAGGCAGATCCACAATTCCTACTCTCACTAGCCGCATGAATATCCGTTTGATGGGGGGCTATCCAGGCTAGTGGGCTGCAACTTTCTCTTGTATGATTGGCTGTACACTACCACTCTACTTACAACTTGGTTGCGTACTAGACTATGCAGGCCTTGGATTTAAATTATCATGTTCATATTTTATAATTTTATCAAATTTCACTAAAATTAATTTATTCGAGATGATTCAATACAATAGAGAGCTACTTCGTGCCAATTATTAGAACTGCTAGATCAACATATGAGCCCCACATCAAAGTTGGACCCTAGAACTAAACTCTCGTGCTCACACTTTAAAATCATAGAGAAATTTACTAAAATTTATTTTGTATGCCTCAATATGAAACGAAACTACTTTATGCCAATTAGAAGTTTAGAACTCAGCAAAGTTGGCCCGGCCCGACTCAACTCACCAAGCGTGGCCTGGTCCGTGAACCTTATTGGATAGGACCTAGGCATAGCTCTTTTTTAGTTTTACATAAAAAATATCAGCTCAGCCCGAGGTTGACACAAAACATTCCTTTTATTTATTTATTTATTTTATAATTGAAAAATAGTAGGCGGCCTACTGAGGCCCAACCCGAACTCAGCCCAAAGCAGTCGTTGCATATTTTATCCCTGAACTCAATCCACCATTTTGCTGGTCCAGTCTAGCTTGACCCGCATGAAGCATAGTTCAAGTGTAGCAAGACCTGCTTGTGGACCCCCACATCAAAAGTCGGATCTCGGACCAAAAACTCACGTTCACATCTTAAAATTTTAGCGAAATTAACTGAAATTTGTTAGAAATTATTCAAAATGATATGAACCAAAAGCTCGCGTTTGAAATTTGAAGTGTATGAAGCTACATTTGCCGATTTGTGCACCAAGATCAACTTGTGGGCCCCACGTAAAAAGGAGGACCCACAGACTAAAAGCTCACGCTCACACCTTAAAAATTTAGCGAAATTAACTGTTACTGAATGTTAAGCCAATTTATGTGTGAAGATCAATATGTTTGTCCAATATCTACCGCAGGACCTTGGAACTAAAAGCTCCCATTCACACCTTAACTTTCAGTGAAATTCATTTAAATATGTTGCAAATGATTTAAAGTGATATGAAGCTATTTTGTGCCAATTTACATGCCAAGATCATGAACTAGATTGGGATTTCACGTAATTTGAGTGAGGGGACAAGGGAACTAGAATGACATTTGACTGTAACTAGTTAGCTGGCCCAAAAAAACACTATTGGGTACCCACTTGCATCCTTATTGTTGAACATTTCACCAAGTCATCCAAAATGTCCTTAAAGTGCTCATGGATAGCAGAACCATAAAACAGTTACAATCTCCCACCCTAAAGTTAGTTACTCTATTTCTTATAGCCATGTGGATATAAAACTCTAAGACGGTCAACCTTGATTCCCACTATAATGCCTCCAAATCTTCCTTTTGGTTGGATCCATCTGCAATCAACAACCACCTCAACCAGCAACAAGAACGAGCTGCAGCCGGCCATATGCATGAGGACAACCAAATTGTAGCTGCGTGCCTAACACCACAAGCAGCTAGAAATCCATGGAAATTGAGTGGAACAAACAAAATCAACACACTTTTGATACCATATTGAAGATTAAATGGAAAGTGCAGAGAAGACCCATGGACACAAGTTGGGGAAACTCTCCAACTATCCTTCTTCTAGATCTCCACTCTCTGTTCTTTTATTTATCTCTTTTCAATTTTCTCCTTTTAGTCTCTACAATATTACGTAGTTACAAAAGAAGGCTTACACACATGCACACCATCAGGAACACGCTTGATTGTTTGACAGTCGACATATCTATCTTAGCTGTCCATCATGACGAGCTTCCTCTAGTAGAACTCAATGCTCGAATGGCACACGCTTGGTACCATGAAATCCTTTAGGCATTGAACATGCTGAATGACTTTATCTTACTTGCAAAAGATCTGTAATATTGCAAAGAGAAAAACTTGATTGGACAATCATGAACGCAGGAATTAGTTATGAATAATAACGGTTGGGGCAGTCGCTTCTCTGCCTGAATCCAGTCCATGGCTGAGCCCAGAAACTTGGCAGGTGCGTGCGCAATCCACGAGTTCATGAACTCATTATTCGCACTTGCCCATCCCTGTACCTTCTTGACCAGCTGTCGTTCAGAACGTTTTCCACCCATGTCTTTCTGAGTGGTTAGTCTCCATGGGATCTTCTCCACCCGAAGAAATGCGCCACCATGCTTGGACTTCCACAGCATCTGATATGAGGTAGCTGCAACATTCCCATGAAGGCAATCTACCGCCTTTGGTAGCATCATCTTGCACAGTTGTTCAAAGCAGGAAATGTTCGCACAAAAGCTGCCATGCTGCACGGCCTCCCCGTTGATCATCTCTGTTGCTGAACCCTCAACTCTCGGCGGCAAATCTTGAAAGGAGGTATGGGGCCAGAAGTGCATTCCAAATTTCAGATAAGGAAAGTCTCTCGTGAGACTTGTTTCACTTTCTTCATCGATGACCGCTCTTTGCTTGTTCTCAACTGAGAGTGATACATGGGCCAACAAGTACACATACATAACTGGTTCCAAGTATATATCACAGAGCAATGATTCTGATGATGAGCT